TAATAATTGTTGCATTTTAGATAAATCCATTTTTATTTCATTTAGTTTTTTGAAAAAATCAAAAAATTTAGCTTGAGTTAAACGCCATAAGTCCAGTGATTTTTCTTTGCACAATTACCACATATCGTAAGACTGGAGTTTCAGTAGAAGAGTTTCTGATTTGCAGACGAAGAGCGTTAGTTTCAACTAAATTTATTGCTGGCATATATCACGGTGGAGAATTCAAGCAATAAAAATATTTATTTTACCTCCTAAATTTTTTATAAATATCAACTTTATATAGTCAAAGCGACAAAAAACAACTGCACAGCAGAATAGAAATAGAAACGAAAAGGTTATTAATGAAATTCAACTGATAAATTCATGTTAAAATAATCAGCAAAAATTTATGTCATTATGTATTTCTCTTTCACAGTAAAAATTAACGCACCAAAATTCAGACGTTCAAAATTTGTTGCACATTTCTTACTAATTTCTTTTATTTTTTTTTTCAAAAAAATTCAAACGGCCATTTCAATGTAAAATCACAAAAAATAAACTGAATTAATAAAAATTCAACCACATAACAAAGGTGTGTAAATAAATAAAGTAAAACTCTGCGTCTCTACTGAAAAAAAAAAAAAAAAATCAAATGGAAATTAAACTTCGAACTCGAGCGTTGCTAATGAAAACATCGTCGTTAGCGGGTGGTGGCGAGTGCAAGGAGACTAACGAGAATCGATTTGAAGCATAACAAAAAGTCGATTTTGTTACCACATCAAATTAACAAGCTTATTGTATAAGCTATAACGTAGCGCCAAACACATTTCTTTTTATTCTTTTCTCATTAACAGATTTTTTTTACTACTCAAAATTTAGAAAAAAAAATACGGTGTTTCTTTTTACGACAACTCGCTAATAATTTACGCAAACACCAACCAAAGCACTATGCGCTACACATCACAAACATATAAACTATTAAGTTGCACTTTAGCAGCAAGTTGTTAATATGCCATCAAAAGCGGTGGGTAAATATGTAGTTGAGGAAAATGCACTGATAAAGCGAAAAGCCATGGAAATTTCAATATGAAAGAACTACATATGTGAAGAGAAAATGCAAATCAAGCACTAGTAAATATTGTAAATAAAAAGTGCTTGAGATATGTACACGTATGTATGCGCGTATGTACGTAAATAAATATTTGCCGTTAGATGTGAATATTTAAATTAGTTTTGGCATGAAATGTTATATTAATTTATATTCGAAAAATCTTATTGGAAAATTTTTTGATCACGTTTTTCAATTCGTTCGATGGAGCGAAATACGTTGGTAAAAAATATTGCGTCTACTCGTGACAGCATACAAATATTACCGCCGCCATTTTGCACATTATTGCTAATTTATTTAATCACTTTTCAAATGCTAATTTGCAAATTTTGTTGCTGTTATTGTAATCGCATAATTAAATAATTGATATTTGAAAATGCTAAAGTGAAGCATGATTTTTAATAAATAAATAAAGAGAAGTAACTGCAATAACTTACAGTTGAAGATTGATGTTGAGCAGCAAATAAATAAAAAATGGAAGGAAATTAAACTAGTTGGAAAATTAAATTTTTTCATTTTGAAATTTCGAATTTATTTCGAAGAGAATCATTTTAGACAAAAGAAAAAATGATAAAAAAATAAGAATAAAAGAATTAGAAAATTATATTTCAATATTTTTTTTTATTTTTATTTATTATTTTTTCATAAAACATAAAAATTTACACTTGTAGATTGTTTTTAGTTTAAACTAGCGCTGCAGATGCCTGGGTATAGAGCACTGTGAGCAGCTCGATACTCGTTTGTTACACAACTGCCCAAATGATAGTTTAAAATTTTTCAAAAATCAATTTTCTTTGTCAAAATTTTGTTAGTATGTCAACGAGTTTTACACTTTGCATAAATAAAATTAAAATTATAAAATCAACTTGAAAAATTTTCTTTTTTGACTTTTCGAAACTACGATTATACAAACGAAATACACACGCTTTTTGTTTTTGTATTCTTACCGTGTGTTAATTTGCCTTGGAAATGCTCGAGCTCAAGCGCGAAATTTTTACTAGCGAGTGTGCAAGTACTCGTTGCTCAAAAGTTCGAGCAGCTCGATAATATTCGAACAAAGTCTTGAGCTCTACTTTCAAACAGTTGAACTTTTTTTTGTAATTTTGACCAACTTAGCTTACAGTTTGAAGACTGATCTTAAGGAAAACCTGCACAGAATTTTGTAATAAAAATGCGCTTTGTGTGAAGCAAAAAAACAGTAACAATTTTCAACACCATTTTTAATTGATTTATAAATATAAGTATGCATAAAATAATAATTAAAATGCACTGGTGTTTCATAATCTTTGATTTTATCCGAATTATTATATAAAAATTAGTTTTTAATTTTTAACGGTGATTTCTTTTATTTTTATTATATTTAACATTTGCTACCTTTTTCTTACTATTTTATTTCATTTTATTTTATTGCACTTTTTCTATTTAGTTCTTTCACTTGGACACTACCTAAGCTTATTTTATTCATAGATAAAAAAAAGACGCCCAAGCGTAATTTCTTCAAAAACCTCAACATGGCAACTGTCAATGCGGGCATTATCAACGGACAGCCAAAACACCACATATATGTATATGTATATATATATATTAATTTTTTTTGCACAAAAACAGCAAATGATAAGCAGCTAGCCCAATAGCCAGAAAGAGCAGCCAGCAGTGCGCTCAGTAGTAATTGTGCAAAGGCGAAGGTGGAGAAGTGACAAGTGAATATAAAAGAATTAAGAAAAATCAAATCATAGAACTTTTTGATAAAATAAATTTGCTGACACATTTAAATATGTAAAAAGAAAAAAAAAACAGATAATTTCCGCTGCAAAAAAATTTAGTTCAGGTAAATTATCGATCAGTTAGCATGGACGTATCTACATATTTATCAATGCACACGCATTACCTTGTCCTACTAGGCACTTTGGTTTTGCTCCAATTTAATTAGGAAATTCAATTTGTAGCTACATAAACATATAAACATATTATAAACATGCCTATATGTATTTATATACATATTTGCAATATTCATATGAAGTCATTTAAATCCACTCACTCAATCACTTAGCAGTTTTTTGGTGCAAATATTTACAAAGCTTTTATTTTGGAGTTTTATGTTTTCTTCAATTTTTATAATCAACAGTTTCAGCGCACGTAATAAAAATGTTGACGTTGGCAAATTTTTTGTGCATTTTTTTTTTTTTGTTTAGCTAGCTTTAAATAAGATATTTGAAATGAAGTTTTTTTCATTGAAGAAGTGCAAATGGATTTCTCAGCTGTACGTTTATTTGAGTTGAAAAGACGTTCTTGAAGAGCTAATTCATATGTATGTGCATATGTATGTATGTATATTTAGGTATGCTATTATTAAAATTGCTAAAATTTTTGTTTGTGTTTTGGCTGTGTGACGTGTTTTTTTTTTTAAATGATTCTTGCTTCTTTTGGTGCTGCTAATTTGTTTCACAGGAGGCTTTGTAATTAAAAAAAATCGAATCTAAGGAACAGAATTCCAAATAACCGATTTAATATATTTTAGAAGTTTGGTTCATTTGTGGAAATAATTGAATTGCATTGAAGTGAATAAATAATAAATTTCAATAATATATTTTCTAGGCTTAAAAGTCGTATTGAATTTTTACTCCAACGGCAGAGCGTTAGCCATTTACATTACTCGGCTATAAAATTTTCACACTTTCTGCACTTCATAAAATATTTTGATTAATTGATTTGAATACTTTTTTGAAGCCACATTAATTTATTAAATTTCAGTTTGATTTCTCAGTCATTAGTTTATAAAGAATATTTTGGCATTTATTTTTTTAAATTTTTATACACTTTTATTTATTTATTATTTTGTATTTGATATCATATTTATATGCATTTATTTTATGTATTAAATAATAAAATTTTGCACAGTTGAAAGAAAATTTTGGAATTGACAAAAAAAGTTAAAAAAATTCAAAATTTTACAGAAGAGCTATGGGCATACATATATATTATATATAAGAAGGAGTCTTATAAGAGATTATATATAACATATATATATAACTGAAGCGATTTTCGGCCAAACTTCTCCTTCAAGTTGATGTTTTTTCAACCCATGTCTTATTCTAAGCAGTCATCGAACGGCTAATGGAATAAAAATTAATTTTCAATAATTTTGGATCTTGATATTAACATCAAACTATTTGTTAAATATTTTTTTAATATATATACATATAATATATATTTAATATAAAAATGGCGCTTTAAAACAGCTGAAGTCGTTTTCAAACAAAAGGGGGAACCTACAGTTTGTGCTAAGCCGCCTCGGAGCGGCCGCTGGAAATACACTTGGAGGGCTTAACATTCCCTTCACAAGAGAGATCACAATTAGAAAAATTAACAAATTTGTTTATTTAATTTAATTTTCTATCATTTTTTGATATTACTAAGGCCGAGACTCGAGCGCTGGCCTTTAGAATGACAGGACGCAATACCAGCCACTGTTTTCTTTTTTATTAGATTTTGAATTTTCATTGAAATTTTCCAACTACAACTCCTGTGCGTGGATGGCAGTAGCATTTTCTGCCTTATATAAGTATGTACATGTGTATGACGTTAAAATTCTCCACTAAATATACCAAAAAAAAATTCACAGCGTTAAAATATTGAATTTGTTGCACATTTTTATTAACACCTAAACATTTTCATCGATCAAAAACTGTTCAACTGAACACAAAGAAAAAATTTTAATTTTCCAGTACTGAAGAAAATTGCCGTCGCTAAATGCAATGGCCGACGACGAGAGCAACTGCACCAATTTCGAGGCCCCCATAAAGCGGGATTTCTAACCATTTTTTTTTTTTAATTCTTCTTACGCACACATTTAACAAAAACACAAAATTTATTAATAATTTCAACAAATTTCACCACGTGTACATGTACTTACCCTAGGTTGAGCCATTAATGCTCTGGGAGCGATGTCCAGCCCGACCTGTGCCACTTTTGCAAGCAGCACACGCTGAGTTTTTGTAGATTTGTTGACTTTGTTTGGATGCGGGCTTTTGCTTAGTGATAGGCACGCAGCAAGTCACACATGCACACACTAAACGCTTACTTTATAATATGTATGTATGTATTTGAATTTTGTTTGTTTTTTTTTACGGTTTTGAGTTTTATTTAAAACTTGACATAACAACACATCATCAAGTGAAATGCAGACATGGATTTATCATGTAAAATACACTTTGTTGTTTTTGTTTTTCAATATTTTTTTTTATTTTTTATTTATTTTTTACTTTATGTTTTAAATTTTTATACAACACAGGCACATTTGTTTGCAATATATTATTTATTTATTTATTTTTATATAATTTATATTTGCTGTTTGATGTTTGACACACGCGACGGTAAAACGCGACGAAACGTAGTTGGATGTTAATAGATAATGGTAATAATTATAATAATAATTATAATGTTGCAAGTAAAATTTATTTTTGTTTTGTGTTTTTCTTTTTTTTTGCTTTTGTTTTTGTATTGCAGTTGATTGTTGTTGTGTTTTATTTGTTCTTGTTGTTTACAGATTTTGCTTTTTCTTCTCAGTTTGTTCTCTTTTATTCCAATAATTTAATAATTTTGTTGCTTTAAAATCGTATACAATGCTTGTATATGTGGTTTTGAAATAATTTTGTATTTTTTTTTCTAATTTACAATAATATTTTTTATTATTATTTTTTTTTTAATTTAGCGCTAAGTGCTCGTATATATAATTTTGCGTTTTAGTATACTTGATTGCTTCGGGATTGGTTGGTTGAATGGTTGTTGTTGAATTTGTTGTTGTTGCTTTGTTGGTTTTAAAGCGGCTTGACAATTTCGTTTTGTCGCAAATTTTGCAGCGGTACCTTTTCGCTTGATTCCTCTATGGTTGTATGTATATACATATGTATGTATGTATGTACATATGCAGCTGTCATAAATTTAATGTATAACTGCTAACTGCTTATTGTGTAGAAATTTTTGTAGTTGTTTTGTTTTTTTTTGTTTTAGTTGGTATACCGCTTGCCAATTGCCGCCGCCTTCGTATACACACTTAGATTACACTCGTTGTTCTTGTTGCAGTTGCATTTAGTTGCTCGTATACAAAGTTGCCTTGGAATTATTACTTTTATTTTATTGTTATGTTTTGTTTTGTTTTATTTTGTTTAGGTAAAATTTTTAAAATGCCTCTCCTTTGTTTGTAGTTGTTGTCGCTTGCGAAAATTTCCAAATATCCTGTATACATATATTTATGTATGTGATAGAGGAGTTGCTTGATGTTCTGTATTTAGTAGTTGCAGTTGCAGTAGTAGTAGTTGTTGTTGTTGTTGTTGTTGCTTGCCTTTATATGCTCACAAATATCACAGCTTCTTCAACTCTCGACTTTCTTGCCCTTAACTTGTGTACTCGACTGCTACTTGTTATTTTTTGTTTGTTTTGTTGTTGTTTTTTTTTTTTGTAAAAATTTCTTTGCTTCTTTCTAAAAAATTAAATATTAAAAAATACAAATTTTTTAAATTTTGTATTTTAAGTTTTTCGAGCCGCGTATTGTCAGTTTGTATGTTTACGAATTGTTTTTTCTCTTTTCCCAACGATTACAACACTCACGACGTTATACGCGCAACACGCTAATTACCGACGCTTTTCACCAACTGACACGACTGACGACAACAGTTTCACAAAGTTAGCAAGAAGACAACTTTAGGCTTTACAGTGAAACTTATTTGAACTTAAAACTCTGATTGCTGCAACAATTTTTTTTATTTTTTTATTTTTTGGATGAATTCGCTTGGAGAAACGTAGCAATTAAATTACAAATAAAAAAAATGTATTTTCTTCAAATCAGAAGCGAGACGAAACAAAAGAAAAATTCGTTAAAAACAAACACTTTTCTAGGCTGTACACAGTTTTTGTTGTTGCAACTTTCATATGCACGCGCGTCCAGATTTAACTGTGATTAATCAAAAACTGTCAAAAATTGTTGTTCTTACTGTTGTTAGTTGTTTGATTTGCGCGGCGCTCACTGGCTTTTCAACAAATTTCGCTTATTAGATACTGTTTTTGAATTGATATTATTTGCTTTCAACTGTTGGATTTTGTTGTTGTTTTTTCTTAGCGCTTAGAGTGGCAGCAGCAAGTTGCAAATGATCTATTGTCTTTTACGTCTGAGTTAGCTGCCTGACTGGCTTACTGGCTAACTGACTGCCTAACTAACGGCCGGCCTGCCTGTTGGACCCAGGCGCTGTTTCTGCTGCTGCACTCGCTGAAATCGGCACTGATGGCACCGCAGACACCGCAGACAAGCACACGCACACTCACACACTACAAGCCGTGGTGGCCGTTTCTCAAGCCACACTAGACGACACCGTCTGTAGGCTGTGAAAATAATGTTCAGCAATGCAGCACGTCTGCCTGGCCAGAAATCCTCCTAAATAATGCAAAAGTCCTGCTAATGCATTCTAGCGACGGCAATGCAACGCACAGGAGCAGCGCTTCTTGCTTCGCTTGTGTTCGTTTGGAGCGCGCGTAACAATCAAAGCAATAAATATCAGGCGTTTATATAGCGCCAGTGAGCAAGCAGATTTTTTTTCTTTAAATATTATTGCAACAGTATTTTTTGTTTTTGTTTTTGAAAAACAATTTTGTATATTCTTTTTTTTTATTGCAAGAAGATTTTCCGCATTTTCTTCTTCTTGTTGTTGTTGTTTTATTTTGAAAACTTTACAATAACTTTGTTTATAAACCGTTTAAATCGCGTTACACGTTACCGTTGTAGACTGTGCAAAAATCTAAAGTGAATTATTCTCGTTTAATTTCTGTTATTGTTGCGATCTTTTCTTTTGTTTTTGTTGTTGCGGTTTGTGGTTTTTTTTCGTTTTCTTTTTCTTAAATGGAAACAAAATGAATTGGAAAAATTACGCTTATTATATTTCGCTTTCTACACAGCACACGTCGTACGCGTTTCGAAGGCAAACACACACTGGGCTTGTCAATCACAACGGCAACTACACTTGGCGGGGGTAAATAATAGCCGCTGCCGACGACACACCGATAGGCAGATAAACGCACACACGCGCACACACACTCCCATACAATCTCATCAGCAGGCAGGCGCGCTCGCACTCAGCGCTACGCTATGCATGAAGTATAGTAGCAAGTCGGTCGTATAGTAAGCAGCAGATAGCATGCCAGCCAGCCAGCTAGCAAGCAAGCAAGCAGCAGTAGTGCAGCAACAACTCAACACACATACACACACACACACACTCACTCAACTTGCTTGCGAAATATACTACGACGAGTCAAGCGCACAACACACAATCAGCCAGCAAGGCATACGCAGCAGATGGATGGATGGCTAGATGGATGACTCGACAGGCCAGGCCAAAGCGGGCTAGCGTAGGAAAGAAAGAACGGCCGTAGCGCTTTGTATTGCGGATAGCATATTTCAAGTGTGCAAGCAGGCGCATTAGCCGAGTAGAGCAACAATTGTGCCATTAAAATAGTGCGAAAGAGCGCGATAGAAGCGAGTGCGCCATTGGTGTGAAAGCGAGAATCAGTTGCTGATGGTGGACGTGGTGGTGGTGGTGGTGGTGGTAGTTGTTGTTTAAGAAGGCAACAAAGTTGAAGAAGAAGAAGAACACTGCCATAAGAGCAGCGCCAGCCAAATAGCTTTGTAAGGTAAACACAACGCAATCGGCCAGGCCAAGTAGGAGCGCATTTGAGTGATTGAAAGTATAGCATGCATACGGCATGCGGCGAAGAGCACTAAAAAGATTGATGAGAGCGCGCGCTCTGTGTGCTTGTTGTAACGTATCTCATAGATACAAATATTTACGCTAAGATTTGTGTAGCGAAGAGCGCGCGCACACATAACTCAGCAGCAAGCAAAGCGCGCGCATACGCTCAAGTGCTCAAGCAAGCAAGTGTAAATTGGAAAATTTATGAGCGTAAAATTTTATTTGTCGGCGAATTCAGCTGCATATTTTGTTTATTTATTTTATTTTTTGGGCACGGCGAATTTATCTGCGCTCAGCTGCGCGCTGCTGCTGACGAAAGTGCCCGCCGCAAATCGCCGGAACAGCTGATGGGGCCAATAAAAGTAGGAATGACTGATTTGTTAGTACGCCTCTTGTGTCATGACCACAAGTATGTATGGCTGGCGATAGATAAAACAAATCGAATAAGAAACGCTTGTAGGTATACGATATCAGCGCTCGCGCAACAACGGCAACAAAAGCGGCTAACGTGCTCACATTTTTGTTCTTATAAATATGTACATATGTACAATATATGAAATTCATAAGTCACTCGCTAAACTTGAGCTTGCCAACAAGCTGACAAGCTCATCCACCCCAAACGGCGCCTGTTGTCGTTTTTAAGGAAATTTCCCTTGAGCGCTTTGTTTGTGGAAAATTTGCACTCTCATAACAAATTGAGTGGAAAATGAGCAACTTCTTCCGCCAACAACAACATTTCTTATACTACACATTTCTTCTGCTTCATAACATCTTGCGCTTTGCCGCCTGCCGCCTGACGTATGCCGCGCGCCGCCTTGAGAGATCTTACGCTCTTTCAGCGCCCATCATTTTGCAAAGGCTCTGCAACAACGCAACGTCACAAGGCAGGCGGCACATCGAATATCAGTCGTCTACTGAGCAGTGAATTCAACTCAGCTCCATAAAATTGCTGTTGTTGTTTGTCAGTCAACAATTTGTTATTTTTGTGTGCAACTTTGCTCAGCTCAGCTCAGCGCATTGACATCGTCGCGCATCTCGCGCACAAACATTTGAAATTTATTTGGCTTTAGCAGAAATGAGATGGCGCTTATATCATGTTGATGAAATACGTAGTCCGTCGTAGTACATACCTCCACAAACGGTGGCTGCCGGCTCATGTGTATGTACACCCCCTTCCGCAAAATATACATGCATACATACATACACAAGTACATCTTTGGCATTCGCTCACTTTCAATGCGCGCGCTCATTGCTCCACACGCTCTGCGCCAATTTCTGTTGCCTCTTCGCTTGCCAACCGTACGTATGTATGTATGTCATCACACACACACACACACCCATGCGCGCAGTTCATCGTCTACCTGTTCTCATCAATTGGCCCCTCAAACGCCTTCGATGCCGCTCGCACGACCTCTATGCTTCTGCCTCGTTCATTGCGTCGCGCATTTCCCTTGCAAATCAGCAAAAACCAATCCCATTTGTTATTTTCGCTTGAGTGAGTGGCAGTTTGCATCAGTTCGGTTTTCAGTCTTTTGGCCAACATCGTTGTCGACTTGATTATTGTGTGTGCTGGTTGTTGTTGTTGATGTTGGTGTTGCTGTTGCTGTTGCTGTTTGTTGAAGTTGTTGTTTGTTGGCTGCTTTGCCGTACGCTGTTCGCTGTTCGCTGAATGGTGAACGGTGGGTGGGTTTGGCTTTGGCTCGCTTGCTCTTAGCGTGTTATTGAAGATACATACTTACATACCTGCATACACATGTACATAGATGTATTTACACTACGACTTGTGTATTACCTACTAGTGTTATAAGCATAGTTGTTGCTATTTGTAGGGTAATGTAACAATTTCTGCTTGTTGTTTTTGCCGCTGTTTTCACTATTCACTTTTGTACTTGTATGTATGTACATTCATATGTATGTATGTGTGTAAGTGCACGCTGGCGTTATATACAGGTGTGTAAGTACACTACACTCAAGTTTTTCATCACCAATATTACCAGCAACGTTAACAACAACAACAACAATAGTGTTATCAACAATAAAAAAAAAATAACCAATACTCAGTCGCTCACCACAAGCCAACCAACCTAGGCCTGGCTGGCCAGCCAGCAGCCGTGTAATGCGGTTTTTGTTATTGCTCTCGCTAAATTCCGCTTTTCATTTGCATTTTTTCTTGCTGTTTTCAGATTGTTGTTGCTATTATTGCACTCAATGACGAAGTTAAGGCCACAGCGACCATTAATGAGGCGGCGAAAATGTGAGTGATTGTTTGAAATACGCAAATAAATGAAACAACAAAAACAACAATTCAGTAGCAGAATATATCGGAAATTGTCAAATTTTCATTACTCAGCTAAAGGATATTTCGAGGAGAGTTTTAATAATTGAATTGTTGCTTGAAAAGTGAAATTTAGCTGAGTTGGAGTATCAACTTTAAGGCGTAGTTGAAGCGATGCCGTAGCTTCAAATTTAGCTAAAAAATGTGAAGAGGTTAAACAATTTTGAAATTCTTTCAGTCATTTTTAATTACACAAAATCACTCAAATTCATTGTTTTAATTTACGGCGCATTCTTAGGTCATGAGTTGATATATATATATATATATATATATATGTACTTATGTGTTTAAAAGTCCTTTTACCCCTTTGCACGTCTAAAAATTCTCCACACATTTCATTGCAGACATGCAAATTTGCCTTCTCATTCATTTGCTTGAGCAAGAGCAAACACTTTTTCTGTTGTGTTGGCTTTTCAGAGGTGCCAAGTTTGGAGGAAATTAATTACTTTTCATTGAGATTTTATTTAGATAGATTTGTATGTGCTACCGAAATGTTCAGCATTTTTCAATACTTTTGAGTTAAATTTTATAAACTATGAAGATCTCAGACGAGCTCGAATTTTGGCCGTTTGAGGCAGCAAAAATAAAAGGACACATAAAATATGCCTAAAATATTTTTGGCTTTTAATAAAGACAAAATCGAGCATTTATTGGGTTTTAAAAAGTCTTAGTTTTTGACTTAAAAATTTTCTGGCTTTTGACAAGAAAATGTCAGAGGTTTCCAATTTTTAACCCGAAAAAATTGAGAACCAAAATTATTATTATTTATTTATTTGAAATATAATTATAAATAATTACATTACAAGATTAGGGCAGCTAGCAACGGAGGCTATCGGCCTGAGAATCAAAATTATTTCCTTCCGTTCTTAAGCTATGACTTCACCGACAAGTTGTGGCCGAACTTAGAGACGATTACCTATTTCATTGGATTGCTTTAACATCTTTCAACAATCATTAGTGTGGCTCCAGCATCTACTTCTAACAACGACATTGTTTTTTGCCTCTTAGAAAATATCCGGATTTGTGTTAAATGAACAGCATTTGCGAGAAGTTTTGATTTTCTATTTTAAGTGGCAGAAAAAATTGTAGCTGGAGCCCATTGACAGACAAGCACCTATTTCAATTCTTCGATGATAACACTATTTTATAAGAGCTGCCTCAATTTCATATATAATTGGCTTTTTGTAACCGCTGATGTGATTTTCCGGCCGTGCTCCTCGTCTAATTTGTGGTGTTGCATCTTAATGTTTTACCTACAAATAAAGGGACCCTCAGTTTATGAGTAGCTTTTTGTTTTTTATTTAGAAATACGCTCGGAGGGGTTGACAATTCCTGCCTAGGGACGAACGCAATTAGAAAATATAACTTATTTATTACAAATAATTTTCTATAAGTTTTGGATGCTGATCCTACCAGGATGTATGGGATATTCGAAAACTAAAATACATCCTTTTTTGATACCCATTTCTGCCCGTTCAGATATTAAGAGAATTTGCGCTACATTTCAGAATAAAATGTCTTCTAAAATAATCCGTTAGTTAAAATATAACAAAATTTGTTTGAACTCTTTTTGATTTAATTGGAAGATCTTTAAAGACTTTAATCAATAAATTATTTGAAAAAACTTTAAAGACAAGAAAATCCTGGTTAATGTTTAATTTAGTGCTAAAAATCGAATCGTTATTATGATTTTTTTTTTAATTTTAAAAAGTGAAAAATTTTGGTTTTTGCACATTTAAAGGAGTCTTTAGTGTAGAAAAATAATATCTTAAACAACTAAATAAATGTTAAAAACACATTTTGCTGCATCCATCATCAAGATGAACGATTTTTTTTTGTTTAACTGTATTTGTTGAGTTTATTTTGTTGTTTGTTGACTTTAAATGCATTGGGAGAGAGTTTTCTTAAAATGTTTGGAGACTTAAATAAAAAACGAAGTCTATATATCAGATTCAGATTTCTTCAAGACTTTTACAATTTTTGAAAGACTTTTTGTTGTATAAAAAAAAATTAATAACATTTTTAAAAATTTTTACTGTCTAGCAGTGCTCAAATGCACATAAATTTGATTTCTGTCGTAAAATGTT